GGAGCCCGCAGGGGCGGGCGGAGGCTCGGGTGGCCCGAGCCCGCAGCTGCCGGTGCCGCCGCCTTGTCGGGAATGCCAGCGGGACACAGATCCCTGCGGCGGGCCCCCGCTCCCGGGCCACTGACCCCTGTGCCGGGACACCGAGCCCCCCGTAGCCGCGCTCCGTGGCCAGGCAGCCCCGCTCGGTTCGTCCCCGGGCGGTGGGCGGTGCGCGGTGCCGGTGCCGCCGAGCTGCAGTTCCGGGGCTTTCCCAGCAGACGGCAGCACTGAGCGGCCAGACCTACGGCGAGCGCGCGGCTGGGGGGGGGCAGCGCGGGCTGATTAACGAGCCCCCGCTTAAATCCCGGCCCAGATCCCAGAAGCGCAAACTTCAGGGGTGACGGAAGGCTTAAAAGAAAAGTCTGAGAGGCGTTTTGAGGTGAGACATTTTGCGAAGAAAATGAATGAGCGGCATTGTAACGGCACCACGGGGGACAGGAAGTGAGAGGGGTCCCCGGACCTGAAAGTCTTGTAGTTCCGAGGCACAAAAAGCCCCCCCCATAGCCCGGAGCATTTTCGATGCCGGACAAAAGATGGCGCCGCCCTCACCGGAAGTTCTCGGACGCTCCACACTCAAGATGGCGCTGCCCTCACCGGAAGTCGTCACGGGCCACTCTCAAGATGGCGCTGCCCTCACCGGAAGTCGTCACGGGCCACACTCAAGATGGCGCTGCCCTTACCGGAAGGTGCAAGGTGAAGAAGTCCCTGCTGCCCATGGAGGGCCCAGGCTGGCCTACGAACTGCACCTGAGAGCCTAAGGGTAAGCACTTTCTTTCCTGGGAGAAAGGGCTTTTGTTCACTTTAAGAAATCCTGCGTTCACATTGACAGTCTGACTTGAAAATTCATTACGAACAAAGATTCTTCGCAGACAAAAGGTGCAAGGACAGAAAGCTGCTGCTGCCCATGGAACGCCCCGGGGGGCCAACCAAGTGTACCTGAGACCCCGAGGGTAAGCAGTATTTTTCCTGGGAGAAAGGGCTGTTGTTCGCTTGCAGGAATCCTGCTCTGAAATTGCCAGTCTGATTCCAATATCAAGTACGGATGAAGATTCCTCCCAGACAAGATGTGCCACCACACAAAGGTCTCTCCCCTTTCATGGGGAAATGGTCTGTGGTTCGCTTGCAGGAGCCCTGTGCTGATATTGTCAATCTGCCATCCAACATGGAATATGGACTAAGATTCCTCCCAGACAAAAGGGTGCCACCGCAGCAAGTTCTTGCTGTCCATGGAGCGGTAGGCTGGTCTATCCACTGCACCTGAGATCCCAAGGGTAAGGGCTTTCTTTCCTGGGGGAAAGGGCTGTTGTTATCTTGCAGGAGCCCTGCACTGCGACTGCCAGTCCAATTCCAAATGGAACAAGGACCAAGATTCCTCCCGGACAAAAGGTGACAGGATAGAACGTTCTCGCTGCCCATGGACCGTCAAGGGTGTCTAAGTCACGCACCTGAGACTCTGAGGGTAAGGGCTTTTTTTCCTGGGGGTAAAGGATACCATTTGCTTGCAGGAGTCGTGGACTGAGATAGGCGGTTTGAATACACATGAACATTCCTCCCAGACAAAAGGTGTCATTACAGAAAGCTCTTGCTGCTAATGGAGGCACTCACCAGCTGCCCTTGAGAGACAAAAGGTAAGGGCTTTTTTACCTAGGGGAACAGTGTCTCATTTGATTGCAGGAGATCTGTACTGGATATCCCAGTCTGAGCTCCTAGAGTGAACACCATCAACATTCCTCTCAGACAAAAGGTGCCACCTCAGAAAATTGTTGCTGCCCATGGAGTGCCTGAGGTGTCCCACCACCTGCACCTGAGACCCATGGCGTATGGGGTTTTTTTTCCTGTAGGTAAGATCTGTTCTTTTCTTGCAGGAGTGCTGCATCAAGATAGCCGCTTAGGTTCCTGAAATTGAACAGGGATGAAGATTTCTCCCAGACAAAAAGTCAAAGGACAGAGCACTCTTGCTGCTCATGGAATTTACTGGGTCTCTCACCACTCACCCCTGAGACCCTGAGGGTACAGGCTTCCTTATACGGGGAAAGATCTGTTGTTTTTTCACAGCAGATTGGAACCAAAATTGCAGTCCAACTCCCCAAACTGAATACAGACAAAGATCACTCTGAAACAAAAGGTCCCAGGCCCGGACGGTTTTGCTGCAAGGGCAAAGGCAGGGGTCTCTCACTAACTAGACTTGAGGCCTTGAATATAAGAGCTTTTTTTGCTGGGCTGTCATTTATTGGAAACAGCTGGGCTGTAGGCAGCTTAGGCCTTGAATTTAATCAGTTACAGCTGTGAGCTTGTCAAAGAATGTAAACAGCACGAAGGCAGGAGAGCAGAAAGGGAAGAACAACTACAGTAAATCATAGGCATCATTTTGAGCTTTGCCAGCACAAGAAAGGACACCGACCGCCTCTCAAAAGAGTAAGCGTGGCACGCGAACAGAAACCACCGACCAATTCTAGCACGTATACGCACAGAGGCGAGGAAAGACTATAAAGCTAAGCCTGCCGTTCCTCAAGTGCCTGTCGTCCGCCAGCCGACCGAGCCCGCACTTGATAGTCAGACCTCCCCCAATTCAACAACCCTGAAGATTCCTCCCAGATAGCAGGTGCCAGGACAGAAAGTTCTCGCAGCCCACCCAGCGTCCAGTGTGTCCACTTCAAGCACTTGGGAGCCTGCAGGTGAGGGGTTTTCTTTCCGGGGAAAAGTTTTCTAGCTCATTTGCAGGTGCCTCAGAATGAAACTGGACGGCTAAGACCCCAAACTGAGCTGGCCCTCTCTAACTTCACTCGCCTCTGGCCCCCTCTAACTCCACTCCCCTCTGGCCCCCTCTAACTCCAC